ATTATTATTATTATTATCCTGCATAATATTTTAAAACTGCAAGCAGATGCTATCATATCAATGCATTTTGATTTGCACATCAGTCTTCCTAAATAAAAGGTAAAAAAAATGAAAAGGCATCAGTTGAAGCTATTGTGCACGAGGCCGATCTGTAATCACCCCTCCACATCTTTCACAGCTCTTACTGAGGCGCTGAGCAAGGAGTACATCCGTACCCAGGCACCCTGGCAGGCGAGCCAGCCCTAGCAGAGGACGGGCGGACGTGCAGAAAGAAGGTTTAAGCATGCCAAGAGTGACCAGCTACTCCACCTTCGCAGCGAAGACGAATACTGCTGCTGGTAGTGTATCGCCGCGTCCCTTTGCTTCATCAGCGCGTCGACCTGTTTCTGCAGCCGCTGGTTCTCCTCCTCCACCTGCTCCAGCCGGCTCAGGTCAGTGTTGTGGTTGGCCACCTTCTCGTTGTACCGTTTTCTCAGAGCCTCGTAGTCTTTCTTCACGCCGTCCAGCTTGTCCACCGCGGTGTCGTAGAGCTGATTGAGAATCTCCGATGACCCGTTCTCTCTCATCACCTGGAGGTGGAGAAATCGCGTTCGTCTGTGTAGCCTGGTCTCTGTTCCGCAGGCATGACGTTGGAACAATGAGATCCACGTCTGCATCTTCATTTATTTTGGAGTCCTTTCATTTTAGCCTTTGTGTAGTTTTAACTATAAAACAATTTGCTTTATGCAGCTTGAGCAGTAGGTGGCAATATTGCACTACAATTCTTTTTCTCAAAGTCAAGATTTTGAAGGGTCAAAAATTGACTTATAAAGTATACATAACCCCAATGTAAATTAAGCATAGTCTCCAATTAGGAAAATTGTTCTACCGTGTTTCCGCCACTAAAATCCCTGTCAGACCTGTGAGTCAGGCTATTCTAAAATGAAACCCATAAAAGCCTTTCAGGTTGTCAATATGCAGGAATCATAGCTATAAGAGTAAACCTATAAAGGTGTCAGGAGTTTTATTTAAAATAATCATACTGATGAGCGGATCTCATCATGCAAAAGCACAAACAACACACAACGGAAACAAAAGAAAATGGGAAAATGAAAACCACTGCCAACTAATTTTGTGAAACCAAGAGTAGGACTAAATTATTCATTAAAGTCCTTAGTGAACAAACAAGTCTTTAACCAAAATTTGAACATTTCTGGAGTCAGAGAGCCTGTGGTGGATATGTGCAGTGTACTGCACACAAGGCGCTCTGTCACCCATTGTGTAGAGCCTGGTGATCAGTAGAAGGCAACGCCTTATATCAGCAGATTTCAGATTAAAAGCTGTACTATAGTGTAGGTAAATCCTCAAGATAACTAGGCAACTAAGTGACTTATATGTGAAGAACAGAAAATTAAAGTCTAATCTAAACTTCACAGGGAGCATGTGCAATTTACACAGCATGGAAGTTTCATGATGACGCAGAGTACTTAAGGTTAGCATATGAGCAGAGTACTATAACACTGGGAAAAGCCTGCTGTGTTAAACCACATAAAATACTGTCAATTTTAAACTTGCTATCAAATTAATATTTAGTATCTCCACACATTCTTGAAAGGAAAAAATTACAACGAAGCTGTAATCTCAATCTAAATGATATTATTGTTTGTGCACTCCAAACTTCAAAACTCCAGGCATTTAAACACAGTCTGACACAAAAAGTAGTCGCAGTATAACACAAACCTCTTTCTGTCCCAAGGTTTACAGAGATTCAATCTGTAGCTAATTTAAGTAACTGATCCTTTGTTCTGTGACTATGGATGCTACCCCCTCCACCTCCCATGAACTCTTCTTTTACAAAGTCCCCCCTGGAAATGTGACAACCTAACAGCTACATACAGTTCAAATCAACTCTTTCTTTCGCCCCTGCAAAGCTTTCTTGTTCTCTTCTGAACTTTAAAGGCATTAATCAAACACACAGCTTTGTTCTCTCTGAATAGAGGCTATGAACCCTGAATGAAGGGGTGAAAGAAGGGTGACTGAATCATTCTCTTAACCTTTTAGTGTCATTAAGACTACAGCAAATTAGTCATTATCTCCACAGAATCCACTGGAGGGAACAGAAAAATAGCAGGAGATTTTCTGAAACACAAGGAAAAGGTTAAGGCAAATGGCAAACTTTAAACGTCAGAAAGGTGACATTGCACTTCATCAGTGTTACACAATTAACGTCTCTTTGTGCATACTTAAAGCAAGTGTGCATCTTCCGAAAGAAGAGGACCAGACGAGAACAGCTTTTAGCACTTCTTCAGTAGTGTAATAAATGTGAGCCCCTATTTTCACAGACACTCTCCAAGTAAATGTCTATTTTTACTGCAGGTCTAGCACACTTGAGAACCAAGACAGCTGCTCTTACACACTGAAGTCTTGTATTTAGCAAGTCTTGTATTTATTCTTTGTATTTTCAAAAATACTGAAAGGTTCCGTGTTGAAAATTTCAGTTAGTATTTAATAATTCTTTTTTTCAGTGCAGGAAATATTGTGATCTCACTATACTGCTAAATGGCCTTGTATGTACAGTAACAAATGGTATCTGAGAATGTCCAAAAAGCATCTTTTTTTAAGATACGTCTTGGTTAATATAAACATAAATATCCGCTTTAATAAAGCAGATATCACTCATGTAAGGTCCTAATTTCAAAGTAGTACTTTCTCCCTTCATCGCTTGAGTAATATAAAATCAGAAATAAATTAAGATGGTGCATGTTAGGGATACAGCTATTGTTAAATTAACCCTTATTGCAGTGATTATTTCCCTACTATCCTGAAAAGTATTTCACTTGTAGTTCTTCATGGGAAAACAATATAATCTCACTGCACAAACTTTCATTACTTTAAGATTGAGCGCATACTGGACCCGGTTCTGCTGAGCTATAAGCGTTGTCAAGAGCCCACTTGTTATGCCTTTAACATAAGACTTAGTGTTATTTTGTTAGCTCCCTACACACCTACATGTTATTTGTGTTCTTTGGACTCTGGCCTTCTGTCAATACCCAAAACGAGGCTCTGAGCCCTGGGAGACAGTGCTCTCTGGTGCTCTCTGTTATAATTCACCGCCTTGGAGCAACATGTTTCAGCCATACTACATCTTGTAAGTCACTCAGCATGTTCACTTCCTGTCTTACGTCTTACTTTTATGCACTGCCTTTATAATCTGTTTAATACAGTAATTTGCATACAAATTATCGCTATTGATTTTTACTTTGTCCCATTTTCTTGCAAAGTGCCATGAGATTGTGCTCTTTGAAAGGCACCATATAATAACATAATTCCTACTTCTGCACTACTTCCCTTTTTGTTTTAGGTATAGGAGGATTTTAACTGCCATGTGGAATGAAGGCCTTTGAGGCTTGTAAACAACATAGGGTCTTAGTTTAAAAAAATTAAGTGAAAACTACCATTTCACAGCCCTTTCTTCACAAGCAATTGACATTAACAGAAAATACAAGCACATGATAATTTCAACAATACCTTACATGTGATATTAAGTGGACTGTACAATAAATGACCAATATGTATTACAGTCCATAATAAGAGAGCAATATATTAATTAAATGCCCTCATAGAGAGCTTTTGTCTTTTTACTGTCTGATAAGTAGGGAAAAAATGAAATGTAGTATCTCTGTGAATGAGAAAACTCTTGTTCCAAGATGCTAACTCGCATCCTGCCCTTATACTTCACTGTATTTGAAGGGGGAACTGCAATCCCAATTTCTTAGAGCAGTTATTAAATCTCGGTAACAAAATAAAGTCATTGATGGTATTGCAACATTCTACAAATTCTAAATTAAGCACAAAATCGTGAACTTTGTGAAAGTACTGTAAGTCTCCATGAAGTATTACATGATCTGGCCCTTCCTGCTCACTAGTCACTGTAATGACTACTGTAACGCAATGTACAAGCAAATAAGTACAGGTTGTACAGCAGACATTTCAGCTCAGACATGTCCCAACGTTTTCTAAATGCTGAGTTAACAAAACCATCCCGAAATTGAGAGCAATATTTCTATTGAATTAAAAGAGGTACATTCACAAGCCTACCGGTTTACAACGTAATAGGGCCGGTTCACTTCATCAGGAGCTTTGCAGCCTCATTCTGAATTGCAGAATATGGCACATACAGTACCTGGAAATTGTCTATTTTGTGGTGTAAATGTGAGGTTTTATAAATGTGAGGAGCAGTGCTCTGTGGCTAAGGATCTGCACCTGTGGCTGGAATGTTGCTGGTTCAAATCCCGCGGCCGGCAGAGGAATCCTACTGCATTGGGCCCCTGAGCAAGGCCCTTGACCCCAGCTGCTCCAGGGGTGCTGTACAATGGCTGACCCTGTGCTCTGGCCCCAAGCTTCTCTCCCCATCTGTGTGTCTCATGGAGAGCAAGTTGGGGTATGCGAAAAGACGAATTCCTAACGCAAGAAATTGTACATGGCCAATAAAGTGGTCTTATCCTATCTTTACAAGTTAACGTGTACATTCTACTTTTCTTGCGGTTGAAATGCCCCCATCAATGCTGATTCATTCCAATCCCAAAATATAAAAACAGCGCTGCGGTTTCCCCTTTTCCTCAGGCGCTCTCTTTCGTGTTGGAGCGCCCACTCCCCCGCCGGGCCGGCCCTGGGGAGATCTACCTGCTGCTGCTGGAGCCGCATTTCTGCCACCTCCTTCTGGTCCTCGTCGTGCCGCCTCTTCAGCTCCTCGCAGGTCTGCTTCAGGTGGTTGTGCTCACGCACCAGCTGGGAGCTGTCCCTCTTCATGGCCTCCACCTCCTCCTTCAGCTGCGACTGGTCGCTCAGGAGGCGGCTGTGCAGGGTGCTGCAAACAGGGATCCCGGATAAGGGCAGGAAACAGGGAAACGTGTTCCGGAACAGCCGGCTACGGGCATTCCAGCAGTAACCCAGGTTTAGGGAAAAGTCTTTTTTTTTTTAAATCACGAACACAGTCAAGACAAGTGGTCTTCATGGCAACATCTTCCCATAGCCAAGACCAACCTATTTAGCACAAACTGCGCATTTATCTATTCCTAAAACGCACAACATCAAGTCTTGTTTCATATGCATACTGTAACAAATTAAAAACATGACTTATGATTATTTGAACCAATTAACATGTTGCTTTCTTAATGCCTCTCGGTACTTAAAGTTTTAAATTCTCAGTCACTTGACTTAACTACACTGGACAATTGCGAAAAAGACCATTCTGTAATGACCCTTACAGAAAGCTGAGGAAAAGAATACAAAATCAGAGCAAGCATAAGTAGCAACTTAGTCTGTGTGACATTAGAACAGGCTGAATTTAGTGGGTAGTTTAACATGAATTACCTCTGTAAGGATGCCTGCTTTGATTTTTTTTCTCCAGTATTTTGAAAGAGCAGAACAACTCCATCCCTCCTTTACAAAGTAAAGGAGAAAAGAGAGATCTCTTTCTACCATAAAAGAACCCTTGAGGAAATTCTTCTTATATTATTATTGAAATTGCTTGATCAGTTTCTTTGATTATCCTTTTACAAAAAAGCAAAAGATGGATGACATCCAGTCACACTGAATAAGATCTTAAGGATTACTATCAGGCTCATCTATTCTATTTTCTACTTAATACCTCAGTATAAACAACAGCTGTAAAACAGTTGCAGAAGTAGTTACTGTTTACACTGAAATAAGAGTCTATAGACAACCCCTAATGGGGAAGCTTAAATATTTTCATGATCTCTCATCTCTCTCCAGCCTCCTTTTGTGTGCTTAACAACCAGCTGCCAGTTTCTCTCAAATGAAAGTACAGTGCGCTATCATTAAATGAATCACACTGATTATTCTGTGTCTGACATACCCTCAACACCAAGGAAAATCTAAATACAAACAAAAACAGTTCAGAACAAAATAGGCAATAGAAAATGCATGTGTGGTGACTATAACTCTGTGAAGACATAAAATAATATTGATCCAGTCTGTTAAGTACAACAGTAGACTGTGCAGCAAATGGAACATCAGCACAGATTAGGACAGTAATCCCAAATCATGGCAAGGAACAAAGCTTTTGAGAGCCCACTAGTTTACTATGGCACAGTCTTCATTCTTCTAGGAGGAAAAACAACTTACAAGGATATGTAAGGGATCACAATCACAGCTTCAAAACTGTTTACATTTTCTTTCACGTCTCAAAATATTAAATTTGATTAATTTAATTCTCAAACTAGGGTAATTATTACACTGCACCACAGTACTTAAGGCCCTGCAGTAATAATGTGATAGAACATTGCTTCTAAGACTCAGCCAAAACCTCCTCCTCTGATCTAAAGCACTGATGCACAACTCTAGTCTCTCAGGGGCAGATCTTCTTATGAAGTTTGATCATTTTAAATCCTTACTGGGGATGCAGCACTGTTTTACAGAAAACCGCAGACCCAAGAGGCATTTGGCTCTTCAGAAGCAGAGTTGACATGCTTTATTCAGTTACAAACTACTGCTGGGTATTATGCACTGGTCTGGCAATTTCATTGTGCACTCTGAAAAGTCTTCTTATTTTTTTTTCCCAAGTGTAGCTAATAAATTAAAAGCAACAGCCTCCAAGTTGCTGAGCTAGGCAATATGTAGTGTTTCAGTCCCTGTTAGGTGAAGGAACAGCAAAGGATAAAACTATATATATAAAAATATTAAATAGCAGTTGAAATAAAAGGCAATTTGCTACAGAAGAGCTTTTGGCATCAGAGTGACAAAATAGGCTCATGTGATATTATGAACCACACAATTTTATGCAAGCAAGTCTGTATTTAGTTTAAGAAAAACCATTATGATGCTAAAACTATTCTTAACTTATAAATTCAAAATAAGGAGATCTCACACTGAACAGATCATGTTTCCATTAGCATACTTTTAAAAAGGGACATGCCAACAAGCATAAAATCTTTTCTTTATAACTTATTTTCACATTTAACCAATCTTTTTTTTCCCCAGCAGGAAACCACTGTCACTTTAGAATATCCATTTTATTGTATTGTGTAAAAATGACCTGGAGTACAACATTTCAAATTTGTCTGGGGTGATTCTAGCAGAAAAGCAGGCATTTTGTTTGCAAAAATAAAGCAGCTGCCATTTGCTGCACACATTTAGACGCAGAACAACACAGAGAAGTCAGACTTCCTGCTGTGAGAGCTCAGCACAATTTACCCAGAAATGTATGTTTAACATCAGAAAGAAAGATAAAATAGGGATTGTACTTACTGGTAGAAATCTGCCTCTTTCACTGCCTCTTCACATCTCTTCAGTGTCTTAGTGTGCTGATTCTGTAGTGACTGCAGGTCTGCCATGACCTTCACACACTGGATCTTCAGATGCTCGTAATCATGGCTTGGTTTGGAATTTGGCCTGACAAGAAACAGTATCAGAACAGGAACCCTTATATAAAAATGTTCTCAGACTACAGGGAGAAGCATTCATTTGTGTAGTAATGCAGAAGATAACACATCAACAGCAAAAGAAACTTGGCGAAGACCGAATCACTACCCATAACAATTCAGGAAGTTAGAGGTCATTGACTTTATTTATGTCTTCAGGCCAGATGCATACATCATTGGAAATATGAGGCAAAATTCTTTCAATGGGTATTACAAATACATACCCATGTATAATAATGTCTATAATACATACCCATGTATTATAATACATGGGTATGTATTATAGACATACATTATATGTATGTCTATAATACGGATTGCCAGTCCTTTGCATAAACAAGCAAAGATTCCCAGCATATGCAGTAAATCTTTTTATAAACTGCTCAGCAATAAAATAAAAAACAAACATATTTTCATCTGTTTGGAAATGAAAAGTGTCCTGGCTTGACTGTTAGACTGATACTAACAATCAGAGCAGGACCAAAAGGAGAAATATCTGTAAAATTAAATTACGCAAGCTTGAAGACGGAGCTAGATGTCCCAGAACACTGGGGCACTGGACACGTCCACTGCACTCTCACTGCGATTAGACAAGACACCTGGAGAACTGGCCGCTCATTTTCACCGAGGCAGGCCGAGGGACCCTTTAGTCTTAAAGGCGCAGAACGGCCCTCCCAACGAGAGGCCTACCGACAGTCGTCGAAGGTGGTGCCAGGAGACGAGAGGGCCAGGCGCTTGCGCAGCTCGTCGCGCTCCCGGGTCACCTGGCGCAGCTGGAACAGGATGGTGTCCAGCTTTTCGCTCATCTGCCGGTTGTCGATCAGTGCTGGCGGAGGGGACGAGGCCTTACCGGTCGTCCCTGCAGGAGCAAACACGCGTCACACGCTCAGCCCACGAGGCGCACGAGGTGAAGCGCCGTCTTCCACCCCTTCAGACAGCATCTCTCTCTGCTGCGATTCAGACCAGACTTGGGGACAAAACGGGCACCTGAAACCCGTTCATTCACTGCCACTCTGAATTTCCACTGGCGTTGCAACTTATTCTTACATGCCATGGGAGTCCTGACTCCCAACCTTGGATCTTGAAGGTGAATTGTCAAGACCTGGAGGCAGTGAAGAAGGGATGAGCTGGTGCAGTTAAACTGAGCTTACCTCAAAGTTTCCAATTGACTAGCAGAAGAAATGAAAGGAAAGCCCCCTGGTCTCTACATGAGACCTGGAGATGGGAGCTACAGTTCTAAGCCATCTCACAAAAGGAAATCTTGAATTGTCATTGCACAGACCACCTTTTCATCTAAAACCATTTAATGTGTTAAGTGCAGGGCACAGGAACCAGCTGGACCAGGCCGAGTTGAAGAATCATGGCAGCAGCTGAGGCAGAGCTTTTAGGAATACAAGAACAAACACTGCAATCGAGGGGAGGCCCTTCACTTGTCGGGGAGTAGAAAATGACACCAGGATCTTTCACCTGCCTATTTCTTAAAAGAAGCCAGGGTGGCAATTTCAACAAAAGATGCGTGTTCCATACTCCCACAACACTAAGTTAAGAAGTGCGTCTTGTCCTCAGTTCTACAAGCACTGACCTGCGGTTTCTATTTAATCGAATGGGTTGTTTGTCACTTGAATACTAGAATCAGATCTGCTTGTGTCCTTCTCTGTTGAAGACTAAATTTAATTATTTTGAATTAAGACATTTAATTAATTCAATTAAGTCTGTCAAATTAAGACATTTAAGACATTTCCCTGAGACCAGGAATTCATTGGGGTTTGTATCTTTTTAGTAATGTGGTAATCAAAATTGTACGTAATATAAGGCATTACTAGTGGATCGCTCTAGTATCTTTGTCTAATTTTAACATAACATGCTCCAATTTAAATTATATGCTTTTAACTGTATATCCTAACATTGTTTACCTTTTTATTGCTTCACCACTGTCTAAAAGGCTTTAGAAAAAGTCAGAATGAACACAATTTTTTTCATGCTCTTGTGTTTCCCATTGCCTATGTTTTTTCTACCAGCATGTAAGACTCTGCACTTGTGCACATTAAATGCTATCTGCCAAGTGTGTGACCAGGCTTTTCTCTAATCTTGGATTTCATCGACAGTGATGCAGATTAAAAAATTAGCTTTACCTTAAGAAACATCTGCCCAACAGCACAAGCCTTTAGCTGAAATCAAACTGAAGAAGAGGCAGAAGCCGCTAGCGGCAGCAAGGAAAACTGCTCCAGACAAATAATTAAGCAGCAAATATTTTTGGCATTGAGAACAGTGAAGTAATAATGTTGGATTCATAGGCCTTTTACATATTTTCCAATTACTTCCATTATCATATGTAATCCCTCTGACTATTCAATTTACTTGTTGACTTGCCTAAACCTTTTTTTATACCATTTAATGCAATTTTTTTGCACCACAGGCTACTGACCATGCATGTATTTTGTTGTCTTTTAACCATCTATAGCCCTATCTCACAGACTCCCACATGTCCAACACTGGGTCTCTTGCTGCGGCAGAGTTTTACCCTCTCTGGGGTTTGGAGGGGGCCGACGCCACGTCAAGGCTCAGCACATGGGCCGCAGCCCGCTTCAAAGGATCACTATAAAGATGATCACTGAACATACAGCACAAGCATGTGTTCTTGCTGCTCAAAAAATAGGTATTATTCAAATTTTCTGTAATAGGGAACTTTGACATTGAAGTCAAATGTTTTACTTTCTTTGTTTGCATCGCCTTTAATGTAAACTATTTCTTTCCTTGTAGCTGAGCATTTGCTGCACTGAAAGATATAACACAAAGCAGCTTCCCTTTTCTGAACCCCAGGTTCTGTCAAAGCCATCTCTTTATGTGCGTCCTTAAAGGTCAAGTGCTGTACATTGAGTGCCTGGTTTCTTTTCTACTCTCCTCACACCTTCAACTTCTTCACCTGCAGAGCACAGGCAGACAAACTCAATCTGTCGGAATCACCCACATTTCTGGCAAACTGGAGTCTTCAACGGCTTTATATAATAATGGCTTTTCATCCCACCCCCATCAAACTCCAGAAAGCAATCAGTATGCAGGTCACCTCTCCTGGCATGCCTCCAGGTGAGCACTGCTCTTTTCAAAAATGTACAGTGAGTGCCTCACTGTTTCATTAACTTGTGGCGTATTTACTTTAAAACAGACAGATGGACTGATACGAGTAATCTTTCACAGTTAAAAAAACACATTTACAAACCAAATGCTTGGACTCTGCATCTATGGTTATTTGACATGCAAAAATAATTCATAACATACTATCGTGAAATATATTAAATACGGCCTGTACATCATGCAATTTAGGAACAGGTAAAGGTTTAGTCCATTCTGAAAGGAAAAGAAAAGAGACACAAAGATTCGACTCTGAAGCCTTCTTCGGTGTGCATTTTATTTACAATACTATGATGTTGTAACATCTAATTTTGATCTGAAAGCACTGTCATTTTTTAAATTAAGGATGTCAGAATCAAATTATATTAGCCACAGTTATGTACACTAATTTATTTAATGGTGATGTATATAAATGGAGCAAAACAATAAAATGACTTTTTAAGCACTTCAGCAGTGGAGACTGTCTTTATCCCTTTTAACAAATCTACAAATACAGATTTAAGCAACTGAACTGGATACCCAAATACAGTTTTTTCAAATTCTAAACTTCTTTGTTGTGCTTCTTGCATAATATTTACCATTTGTTTATCTCTGTTGTGCATTTTACATAACATTTTACTATCAGCCTCTAATTTTATCATCTTCCTGCTTACACTGAAACTGCTGACATAAACATCGAGTCTGGAAAATGCTTTGTACTGCCACTTCTCAAACAGCTAACTGCTCTCCGTTAACAACACTGAGAGCACAAGAAGGGTAACAAAGTGGAGGAGGCCATTCTGCCCAACTAGCCCATTTGGCAATGAATAGCTAATTGATTCCAGGATCTCATCCTGCCCTTTCTTGAAATAAAAAACGGGGTATCAGCTTCAACAACATGGCAAGCTACTTCCATAACCCTTTGAATAAAGTAGTGGCTCCTGTTCCGTTTTAAATGCTGGTTTCAGCTTGTGTCCTCGGGTTCATGTAAAAATACAAGAATGGAATGTAACAGAAATGAAAAGAATACTTTAACAAAGTCCTCATGTCTACAACACCCCATGCAAGAGAGAACGTCAAGGATACTGGTTCAGACACTTCTATATGAGTTTGATATGAAACACAAAATATATTCTTAATAGCGGGAACATGATAAAGCAGGAGAAACTACATTATACCTACATTACAAACACAAAAGCCCAAGTCAATACAAAGCTACAATACTGGCACATAAATCTCAGCAGATTGTAGTTAATGGACTCTTACAAGGAGCACGTTTCTGTGGTCAGAACTCACCTATGCTGCTGAGAGAGCTGCTACTCTCCGAGTCTGATGGCATTGTAGACAACACACTGTAGGTGGACCCTGTAAACGGAAGATAAAAGAGCAGAAAAATATTCAACAATACTGTATTGAGCTGTATTTAAAACATAATAGCAATACATTTGTACAAAGCAACTGTCTATAGTCCCATATAATATGAAGAAATAAAACCGGTTGTCATAAACCACAAGCTGGAGTCAGCACTGTCACACATTTATATTAATTTGCTAACTTTTACATGAATCAGTTTAAAGTACTGTAGCAACTGTTTTAATTATATACATTTGACATGCACCATATTTATGCAAATTATGCTACATTGGACTCATTCTGCATATAAAGACAGGGAATGTTTGAGCAATGAATCCCATTTTTATTTAAGTTCCCTTGAAGCGCATGAAGCCGCCTCAAACATTTGCCTTTCAGAATTATTCTATTCAGCCCATTGCACAATAGGAAAAAAAACATTTCCATTTCTTTAACTTGAAAGGTTTCTCCCAAAACACAAATTATAGCCTTTGGGATTGACTGGGAAAAGATTAATTAACATGGAGACATTAAAGATGAGAAGAGGATTAATGGGCCCACACAGAAGTAGCGAGAGGTTTTTAAAAAGGAAGATGCTTCTGTCTTCTCCGACACATGGAGTTATTTATATTTTTTTTACTAATTTTTTCTTGGTAAAGCTGCTCCAGAATCATGGTTAAAAAGTAGCAATGTCTGATCAAATTAAAGAGCAGGAAAACCGAAGGCAAATAATGTGATTGCTCATACTGAATCATTTTAATACAATGCATTAGATCTTGCCGTTAAAAAATCTTTTAATGCATTTTTTTTTCCCCACAGATAAATTGAAACAGATGTTTTAATATTTTTCTCTGTAATATAAAATGTCAGCAACAATGCAATCCAACGCACAACCTAAAATTCACCAAGGACTATCAGCAAAAAAAAAGTTCAATGTTTATATGTATTCTGTTCAGTTGTCTATTATAATGAAACATATTTTAATGCTGACTGCCAAAAGATAACACTTCATCTGACGGTCTACAGTTATGAAAAAAGCAGTAAAGTATGTAGTACTGCAGTCAGATTTAAGGAACATCAAGGATGATGTGTTGGAATTAACATACCCAGCTTCAGACAGGTACTTCAGTTGACCCTAAATTAAAGACTTGTGAATTGATATCACAGACACATCCAAAAGGAAAGGTTTGATACACATGCTGATATTCTGCGCTCTAAGTCTCAGGGAGCAAACAAGGAATCACAATTTCTCAAGTGAAATTAGCAAACTACAGTGAATAGTTCTAAGAACAGGTATTTTAAAATTGGCGACAGTTGCACAGGAGTTACAATAATACCATAGTGGAGGAATTCTATTTTTCTTTAGGATAAATGTCGTCAGGACCTTTTTTGAAGTATAGAACTATTTTATAACCAAGATGACACCTCATCAACTGAAGTTCGATTCTGAAAAGAGTATCTTTAATAGCTTACCGATCACAGCAAACCTGCTGTAGGAAACTTGATTTCTGGAGAGCAAAGCCTTCTGAAACCCAGACTATAGTATGAACTACACTGATTCAACTTACAACAATAGTTTGCACTTTTTGAAACCTGTTGCCCACGGGGGGTGTCTGGGTTACCCCAACATTTATTACTTTACCCATTATGAACCATCAAAAGGTGAATTGTCTTTGTTAGAGACATTTTTTGTAGCCGACACATCTGTCTGGCCTCCTCCTCACAAAGTTCATGTACCTCTACCGATGTACCAGTGATGGGTACTGATGATGACCATTAGTGGCCTTTTCTAGAGACGTTCATTCTGCCTTTAGGTTGTCGATTTGAAGGCAGAAATGGATGATAGCAGCTCTTCCAGAAGTGAAGTGATCTCCTCTGGAAAAGTGGTGGTGAGTAAGTACAAAGGTGAGTGAAGTGCAGTTTCTAATGACTTTGCCACCACTGGGCTGCACCGCCTGGGTTATCTGCTGAGGGCCAGCCTCTGTCTGATGTTTGCGAGGGCGATGGTGCACAGCCTCTACTTGTGCTTCTTTTTTATGAGCGAGAGGCAGGCATGATGAGAAGCCACACAAAGACAAAACGCTGGAAAACGCGCACCAGATAAATGCCAGAAGTTACGTAGAAAAAAATAAAATGTAACTTATTTGAAATGAAGAAAATAAAAATGTCCTCTATTATTGCATATTTGTCACACTGGATGTTTTCAGATCTTTAGACAAAATCTAATATTAGATAAAGGGAGCCTGAGTGAACAAATAACACTTTATTATGATTATTTAATTTATTTAATAAACAAAGTTATCTAACACCCATATCCCCTGTGTGAAAAATTGCCCCCTTATACTTAATAACTGGCTGTGCCACCTTGCTGCAATGCCTGCAACCAAGCGCTCCCTATAATTCAATATGAGCCTTTAACATCGCTGTGGAGGAATTTTAGCCCATTCTTCCGTACAGAACTGCTTTCATTCAGAAACTTGCTCGTTTCAGGTCCCGCCATAGCATCTCCATTGCTGTTTAGGTCTGGACTTTGACTAGGCCACTCCAAAACGTCTTTTCAGGCATTCTGATGTGGATTTGCTTTTTATGTTTTGGATCATAGCCTTGCTGCATGACCCAACTACACTTCAGCTTCAGCACCCAGACGGATGACCAGCCACCCTCCTGAAGAATTTTCTGATATAGAGCAGAATTCATGGTTCCTTCAATTATGGCAAGTCGTCCAGGTCCCGAGGCAGCAAAGCATCCCCACACCATCACACTACCACCACCATGTTTCACTGCTGGAATGCGTTGTTTTTGCTTTACGCCATAACTGGACCCATGTTGTCCACAAAGTTCCACTTTTGACTCATCTGTCCATAGACCATTCTCCCAAAAGGCTTGGGGATCATCCAGGTGCTTCGTGGCAAATGAGAGTTGAGCATTTATGTTCCTTTTTGGTTAGCAGTGGTTTCTGCCTTGCCACTCTCCCACGAAGCCCGTTTTTGCCCAGTCTCTTCTGATCGTGGAGTCATGAACACTGAGTTTAGCCGAGGCAAGAGAAGCCTGCAGTTCTTTGGATGTTTTTTTAGGATCCTTTGTGACTTCCTGGATGATTTTACGCTGCACCCTTGGAGAAATGTTGGCAGGCCGGCCACTCCTGGGAAGATTCACTACTGTTCCAAGTGTTCTCCATCTGGAGATTATGGCTCTCACTGTGGTTCAGTGGAGTCCCACAGCCTTAGAAATGGCTTTGCAACCCTTTCCAGACTGATAAACAAGTTTTTTTCTGATCTTTCTCAGGAAGTTTCTTTGATCGTGGCACAATGTGCTGGTTGAATCTTTGTGCTGGCAACTTGACTCTGATGGTAAGGGTCATAATAATTGAGGTTTATATTGAGCAGGGCTGGCTGTAATCAAGCCTGGCTGTGTTCAATCAGCTGACTTTAAATTATCCCTTTAATTGGGTTCATTTAACTTTACCTTTTCACACAATGCCAGTTGGTGTTGGATAACTTTGTTCATTAAATAAATGAAATAAGTTTTAAAAAAATGTGTTATTTGTTTACTAATATTAGATTTTGGATGAAGACCTGATAACATGCAGTGTCAAAAATCTGCAATAGAGAAAATCATGTTTTCATGGGACTATAATATACGCTTCTTCACATCATGCTCAAGAGCTCAAAAATATCAGAAAAGATATATCTAAGCATTCCTTAATACTTTTTTTTAAAAAGTATTGAAACTGGAAAACCTCTATTAAAAAGAGAGACAGCCACCAAGTAATCGCTGCATTTGAATTTCATATTTCATATTACGTATTTACTGCAGTGACAACGTAATAAGCAATGAAAACAGAAACAGACTACTCACAGATAAACTTCAAGTTTATAAAGGCCATTTGAGCCAGATGCTTAAATGTGGCACACCGGAAAATTATGAAACTCTTGTTAAGTTATCACTAACACACTCTACTTACATTGACAAAAAACAATTGTTAGATGTCTAACAGATTCAAAAACAATGCAGGTTTAGATGAACATACAGTATCTTAGCATGCAAGATGAAGGACTTTCGTTCCATACTTTTGGAACACCTATGCAAAACAAGAACGGTGAATATTAAATCCGAAATCAACAACACAGAAAGGCAATCGAGGTTAATTCTCGTTTTCCATGGAGGCCAATTCGATTCATTTTAAAAAATATTTAAAAGACACTCGGCAGGATTCCACATAGGTAATGTTTCAATATACAGGATTGAATATAACAATTCACAGCAAGTGCAGACATCTTAAACTGAGCTTCGGGTACAGATACACATGAAGAGAAAGCTTACACATAGCAGTTTATAAAATAAAAACACTGCACAGAAACACTACTCTGGAAGAGACTGGAGAGGCTGCAGTAAGGCCTGTACCACATGGGTCATGGCAATCAAAGGTCACAGCAAGGCCATGAGCTCTGCTTTTACTAAGAATAGATTAAGACTGTAAAAAGAGCCCTTGCAGTGTGACTGTTGTTATGCACTAAATAAGGTTTACCTACTGTACGATGACAAGTGATTTGCTGCAGATGAAATTACAGTCTCTGTTTCAAATTCAGCATGAATGCTGATTACTTTTAAGATTTACTGGATGGCAGGGTTATGAATCAGTAGTTTGAGTAAATCAGACAGAAACAGATCCAAATATGTTGGTTGATATGCTACCAGTATTACATGTAAAGTATAATGTCAAAAGGCACTACTGCTGTGCTTGCACTCCTTTGAAGTGTACTAACAATCTGTAGTGTTGTTCAGGGTTAATCTACAACAGAACACCAAGTACATCACATCTAATTTAAAATTCCACAGCCCTTTTTACTATGAGCTTAAGAAACTTGGGAAACCTTTAGGTTCTAATTTTATCTCTCCTTCCCAAGTTAAAGGCGATGGGAGAATTCAAAGCTCTTTCAAATGTCATTCACATTCTAAAAATCACACACATCCCAAAACCCTGCTGTTTTTCTGTATTAATTAGTGTCCGCTTT